CAATACACAAAACACACCAAGCAACTAAGTGTAGAGCACACAGAAACGAAGTTTGTTGTGTTAGTATGTATTGGTGCGAATGATTTCGACACAATTGTTCGATATACACTATTCACTGGTTTGCCATTGGAATTGTCAACCAACACGTTAGGCGACGCCACTGACAAAAATATTTCTTTTCGCCTTGTCACATATATTAAAAATATAGGAATAAGGTCTTATTGAAAAAAACGATGCGAAGAAAAAGAAACCAATTTAAAAGAAAATCGTGAAAAAATATTGAAACTAATGGTCGAAATTGGTTTGCTAAGTCTTAATGTTGGAGAGAATAACCGCGAAGTAGATTTTGAAATAGAAAAAAATGAAGCAAAAATGTGTGTGCGTAGCCGCACGATACATACATTCGTTATTCCGTATTGCTATGGCATGCGAATCAAAGTAGGTGAAATAAGAAGAACGAATTTGCGTCCGTATTATATATGTATGCATCATGCGGCAGCGTACGCACGCTTGGATCTGGATCTTGCGGAGATCTTACGGATCTATCCTATACAAAAATCATTGCGACGGAAAACCTTATTTTTGTCAAGAACTCCTAAACGTTTGAAAACGTATAGAATGAAACACTTGAATGACATTTTGTGCTCGTTATATATATGCACGTTTTCAGGTCTTCAGTTAACGCATACACTTCACACATGGACCAGTAGAATCGTGTTGGAATGACTCAGTGTTTTGCGCATAGCGGTTGTGTTTCTTTGGCTGTCACTTTCATATCGTGGTTTTTCTTGTATGATTTGTTATTTCATCATTCAGCTTTAAAGAAGATCTTACACAGAACGAAGAAACAGATCAGTGGTAGAATATCTCAGATGCTATACGCAAAAGAAACCCGACACATGGCTAGAATTACTGCCATACGCCATATACAACTAGTATAGCTACGAAAATTATGCAGAACTTATCAGAAAAGAATTTGCCGACGCTTGGAAATTGGCACGCGAAAAATTCGACCAATCCAAACTCACGAACAAAAAATATTATGACAAATATATGAATTCAATCACCGTTAAAGTGGGAGGGAACATATTGGTAAAAACAATCGTCAAAGACAGAAAATTCAATTACGCAAGGAAGGGTCCATTCGAAGTCATTGCAGTCGACCAAAAATACGTAACGTAGAAAGACGGCCGAAAAACCAAAAAATAAATATCGACTACATAAAATTGGTAAAAGCAATTGAAATGAATTAGTGTTCAAATTCACTATGTAGAAAAAGATTTGTTTTGTTAATTTTAAGAATTACTTTTATTTAATACTGCTCGCTTCCAATCACGTAGCGTGTACCCATCGAAAGATGCGCAGCCTCTTGGAGCCCAAGTTCATTATTCCAGGCATAATTAATCATGGCCCAATAACGGTCGATGTAGGCGATGTTCGAACTGGAATTGAAGCTACCGACGCGTAGATTTACGTTGGCATACCACTGCAGTATGAGCACGTGCAACACCATGTTCGCGAAAACGCCCAAACACCAACTCGTTATCACTGCGATCGCCATATCGTACTACAGCGAATGAAGAAAAAACGAAAATAAGAAAAAAAGAAAACGTTAAAAACATAATACAAAAAATGAGGAGAAAAAAGAAATAACTTACTGAGGACATTGGCACGATGTGAACCTTCCAGTTCCGCATCGATCCGAAGCTGATCAGCAGCTGCCAGTCACGTGGCAAGACGCTCACGCGCCTTACAAGCAGCCAACTCCCTAACCAAATAATCTGAAAGAGAAAAAATAACAATAGCATGAGTAAAACAAAGAATAAAAAGGTAAGACAACTAAAAAACACTGAAAAGAAGACATTGAACAAAAAGAATACATACCGTTGTAAAAATTTGGATTATCCTTCGATTGTTTCGATAACGACATGGTTAAACAGATTTTTTAAAATAGCAAGAAGTTTCGAAAAGGAATTTTTTTTCAAAATCTTCTTCACAAGCTTTGGCAAGTTCGATAAAATTTTGTGGATCTTTGCTATTTGTTCGCATTTCAATCCCGTTCGAACAATTGGCGCCTTTTGAAAGGCGCACGCACCATTTCTGCGCCTTTTAATGAAATGACGAGAAAAAGAATAAGTAACACATCGTAAGACTCGTATTTCATTCGATTTTTCTTATGCTAAAATGCTAAGACCATACTTCTTCTTCGTTTGAATCTCCATTGTGCTGCGAAGATCCGCACAAAGAGGAACAAAAAATACCAAAAATGTAACGAATCTGCGCCTACTATGCTGTTTTTCGTACACGCTGTTTATATACGAATCATACGATGTGCTCGTTTATCCTTTTTCTCGTCATTTCATTAAAAGGCGCAGAAATGGTGCGTGCGCCTTTCAAAAGGCGCCGATTGTTCGAACGGGATGTATTTAAAAAAAAGTGAACTTAAATCTGCGGCTCGCAATTTTTGTACGGAACATAATAGGTATTCTTCCATTGATAAGAGATTTTCAATTGTACTATGGTTTCATTAAATTCCCGACCGATTGACGTTTAAATAAAATGTTGAAAAATGAAAGAAGTTTTGCCAACCACATAATGTTCATAACATATATGCGTTGTAGAGAGAGCGTGACGCATATATAAATGCACATATAGTTGCCATGCTCTCGTTCATTAAGTCACTGTAACATACAGGCACGCGAAACTCTCACATCATTATTTATTGTCTACATGCGCACGCAGTTAGAACAACGGCAAAGTCGCTGTTTGTGTGTATAGTATGATGTCGAATGAGACCTTTTTTCCGCGCGTTATCCAGAATGTGAACCAATACATACACACGCAAGTGACATTGTTTATTTTTTCATTGGTTTGTCATTAATGCGTCGCCAAAAATAAGCAAATGTATTCAGGGCTGTATAATACTTATCCTCCAATCAAGGATTTGGTCAGGGCTATATTTTTAATATGAATTGGATCTTTTTATTTTGACAATGTTGAAATAAAATTTACTTAATTTTTTTGAATTGTTGGAATGTTCAGAATAAATTAAATAAAAATTGTAATACAGACGGTCTGTTTTTCTCGTTTTTCCGGTTTGAAAAACTACCAATCGACTTTTCTCGCTTTTCCGATGCAAATATCGAAAAAATAAAAAAATTTGGCTGGGCATGTTACCCCCATATGTGCTCAACACCCAGAACACTTTGGACCAGGTTTGGTCCACCTGCTCCTCAAGATTCACTTCCAGCTCATGTCATCAAAAAAAACTCCCGATCGATCTTTTACGCATTTCGGTTGGAAATATCGAAGAAATAAAAAAAATTGGCTGGGCATGCTCAACACCCAGAACACTTTGGACCAGGTTGGGTCTACCTGCTCCTCAAGATTCACTTCCAGCTCATGTCATCAAAAAACTCCCGATCGATCTTTTACGCAATCTTAATTCTTAAATCTTAAGAATGTCATTCCTTTCTGAGGGTATTCGTGGTTCAAAAACCTTAACTGAACTCACCGGAAAAGCGTAAAAGATCGATCGGGAGTTTTTTTGATGACATGAGCTGGAAGTGAATCTTGAGGAGCAGGTGGACCCAACCTGGTCCAAAGTGTTCTGAGTGTTGAGCACATATGGGGATAACATGCCTAGTCAATTTTTTTTATTTTTTCGATATTTCCATCGGAAAAGCGAGAAAAATCGATTGGTAGTTTTTCAAACCGGAAAAACGAGAAAAACAGACCGTTTGTATTACAATTTTTATTTAATTTATTATTAACATTCCAGCCATTCAAAAAAATTAAATATATTTATTTCAACATTGTCAAAATAAATGGATGCAATTCATTTTAAAAAACGTAGTCCCGAAAGGAATTGGATAATAAGTATTATACAGCCCTGAATACATTTACTTATTTTATGCGACGCATTAATGAGAAACCAATAAAAAAGTAAACAAGCGTGTGTATGTATTGGTTCACATTCGGAATAAAGTTCTCACTCGACACACGTATTGCCTATGATTACGAAATTTCTACTGCGCAATATTATGTTTAAGCATGAATTGATATGAGTGAGAGAGACGCGCGCACGAATACACATAAGCCCATATTCGGC